ATGACTACTCGAACGCTGAGTTTTCATTTCTTGAAAAGGACATGTACACAAGGTATCATTTTCGTTCGAACAAAAATTATCGCCATTGTTCCGAGTCAATTGATTTAATTGTCTACTGTTTCTACCGAAGCGAAGAATAGCCTATTGTCTATATGAGTCTCAAGAACCGTCATATCCTGCTATAATACATATAGCGGAGACAACATATGGTAGCCATTTTTCAAATAGTATTAGCACGTTCAGTGCCGACAATCGACCACTAAAATTGCGACAAAGACAAAGCAGTTTAATCAATTGAACCGAAACTAGAATGATAAGATATAATATTTCGAATATAATACAATGAGAATGAATTTTCAAAATTGGTAAGAAATTAGTGTCATTAATTATCATTAATTATATAATTATCATTAACTATATTTATTAAATACGATTCAGAAAATATTTACTTTATCGTGTTCTTTTTGCGAGATCAGTGACCCCAAAACGTGTTCAATAATTTCGTTTTAAATAAGACGATACAATGCAAATTCGATACGTTCAATTTTTGGTCAATTTATAATCACTCTTTATTATTTCAACTACAATTAATCTATACAGTTATAATCTGTGTAATAAATCTATATTTTTTTCATATTTAAATGTTGCACCAATTTAATTGTCATTTGACTGTAATTAATCCTTCCAAATGTGATTCATATAATTACTGTTTATTATTTTTGATACCTAAATGTTGTACAAATTCAATTGTTCATCAACTGTAGCAATTCCATACATTCATAACCCTATTTGTAACTAGACTGCGGATTTTATGCATTTATAATAAAAATGAATAAGCTAAATACAATGTTGTAAAAGTAATTACAAGAAAAAAAATTTAAGGATAATGATACATTATTTTCGACTTATTACAATTATTTTCAACTTCTTACAATTATTTCCAACTTATTACAATTATTTTCAATTTATTACAATTATTTTCAATTTATTACAATTATTTTCAACTTATTACAATTATTTTCAACTTATTACAATTAGTAGAGAAGGAAAGACATTTCCATCTAACTTATGTTTCTTACAATTAACTAAAAAAACTTTTATTTTACATAAAGATCCGCAGTCTAACCATATAGCCTTCGAACATTCTCCGATTTCTCCACTCTGATTCAAATATGATGAATACGAGTGCCATTGTACGGGTTCAATTGTCATTCAAGTATTCGTTCAGGATAGAACTTTCATTCAGAAAAGTTCAAGGTGAACCGGCATGTATGCGCAAGGTCGAGGCTTAGAGATCCCATGGTGTTGTGATACTCGTTGGGTCGTTTACATATCGGTTAGTTAATAGATCTAATCGTCTATGAAAAATAAAACCGCACGGTTTCCGGTGTCCTTCTTTTTGTCACGATGTGTACATCTAATTTGAATGTAGGCAGTATGAAATAATCACGCCGTAGGCTTAGAACGATTTCAAGGTGCAACCAGTGGAGCTCACTCTTGTGAGATGATTATATGATCGATTACCTCACCTAGCAATTCTGTTATGGTCTGAACACACCTACGCGAATCGATTTCACGATTAAGGGGCTGATTTTAATTTATTGGGAAGTCGTCGCGGCGCCCTTGGACGCAAACGTATACGTTTTAACGGTATCCAATTTTAACAGCACAAATTTTCTTGTAACGTGTATCTCAATTTTTATCGCAAACTCGTACAAATTTTTCATCAGAATATTTTTACGAAAATAATAACCATCGACGAAAAATTTTAGACAAATCAATCACTATAAAAATTCTACATTTATAAGTTAAAGTAGCATATAACAAAAATATAACATTTAGAAAAATAGAGAAATTTATTTGAAGCCTAAATTTAAATTATAAAATCTAGTTTTCGCTAAGAAAAAGAATTACAAAATTAATCTTAATATTTCTTATTATTAGTATTACAACGGTATGTTTTTAATCACTCTGTGTAATAATATAACGTTAATTGTTACGTACCAAAACAAAAGTATTAATCAGAAAAATCTGCTTCCATAAGTTTCATTAATTATTTATAAAAACAATGCATCTGAAGAAAAATCATACCATATAATATTTTGTATTTGTTTATAAATAATACTTTGCAGAATCCAGTTTAAAATCTGGAAATTAAGAAACTGTTTTATTTTCGTTTTTTTCCATAATAATTAATTCGAATGAAGTATTTGCTAAAGGATTTTAGAGAATTGATTGTAATTCTGCAGCAACGCT